CGTTTTGTCACCCACTTTCATCTCAGCAACCAGGAAAGCTGGGAGGCTGAAACTTTGGATATATGTGCCTATCCTGTGTATCATCCTCCCGTTTTAAGATCTTTTCCCATACGTGCCTAGACCCCGCATACGGGACTCCCAAAGAAATATGTTAGCGGGAAACGACTTCGCGAACCAGGCGCGTAGAAAGCCGAAACTTTGCAGGGATGTCTATGCATGTGCGAGATAAAAATTTTAAACTCAGCTCTCTAGCTCCCCAACTACAGCCTCAAGCAGCTCCTCAACCCAAAAATCGTTAGCAACTCGGACCTGAACCGCGATCGTAATGTAAATAAACATGGATTTTTTGACAAACGGTCGCTCGACTAGAAGTTTGCGTTTTTTTAAAGGAGCCAGAAGAGATGTGAGGCTGAAAATTTCAGGTGCGTGTTTCCTGCCAAGACAGGGGCTTCATAACTCGAATTCAGTACCTAAGTATGCTGAGGTCTTATGTACGATCACGTGAAAGTACTGTCGTAAAAACCACTCGAGAGCAAAAAATCGGGGAGTTGAAAATTTGGAAAAGTGTTCACGCTTTGATGTCTCGAATTCAGCTTCCATGTGCCGTTACGTGAAATCTTTAGCCCTGCACTTGTTTTGGGCGGAATTGAACAAAAAGTTTGCTCGCACCGGCTACCCTGATACGCAACATTATTTACCTACGGCCTGTATCAGAACCTGATTCATTATTCATATTTATTGTTTCTCCGAAACATCTACAGCCCAGCGGTCTGATTTCATGTATAGCTGAAATCCGAGTTGATGAAGCATATGTGTTGCTCCTAGTCTCATATCGGACTGGGGGCAATACACTTTCTTCATCAACCTGATTTTTTTCGTGAATTTGCATTGGACGATCTGGCCCAGATATAAAACTACGGCGCTAAACAATGCCTGTTGAAATTTGCTGCATGTTACATCTGTGATAATAATGTGAAATTAGTTATGATCGATTTTCATGTTTTGACCACATAATAATAAAGAAAACAATCAAATTGCCGAGTCTTATGCTTATTTGTTTAACAAGTGCTATCTTTCATAGTTGCTCGAATTAATCATTAGACTGTAGTTACTCTATTAATTTCTGACAATCATAGTGGCCACTATAAATTCCTTTAGCTAGAAGCATTAGACGGAAAAAGCCTATGGAACAATTTGCGAAAAACGCATTTTTGTACCAGCAGTTGATGCGCTGGCCAACTGTTTTCTGATTCTGGTCAGATCACGGTCGCGTTTTCGCATGCAAGAGCTGGTCTTTTTGTAGTAAAAAATTTCACTCTCCTACAAAACGAAATGTGAACTATATTTATAGGGACTGCAGTACAAACCATCCCAATCGTGATAGCAGCCCATGTAGAGGCGACTAATTCTTTTTTATGCGTTTTAAGCTGTGTAACAG